GGACGCTGGTGACATGGGGACGCTGGTGACATCTGGACGCTGGCGACATCTGGACGCTGGCGGCATCTGGACGCTGGTGACATGGGGACGCTGGTGACATGGGGACGCTGGTGACATGGGGACGCTGGTGACATCTGGACGCTGGTGACATCTGGACGCTGGTGACATGGGGACGCTGGTGGCATCTGGACGCTGGTGACATGGGGACGCTGGTGACATGGGGACGCTGGTGACATCTGGATGCTGGTGGGCAGCCTTGCAGACGGTCACCCCTATTTTTAGGGGCTTTGCATGTCTCAGCAAATGTCAAGCCACAGTTTCATTTCCTGTTCTGAAGTTGCTGCATTATTTTTAGGCCCTGGGACTTAATTATCACAGTTAAATTTCCTTCTTCTTTAGTCTAGTGAATACTCTATTTGTTTAATTTAACCTGGCCCTAACAATAGGAGTCTCGTGGCTCTTTCCTGCTGGCTTTGAACCGTGATCCTCGGATCTCAGCCTCCAGAGTAGCTGGTGATCCTCGGATCTCAGCCTCCAGAGTAGCTGGGGTCACCGGTGTGGGCCGCGGCGCCGGCCCCCTGCCGTCCCTTTTCCCCTCCTCTGAGGTCTCAGTCACAGGAGCTGGGAAAGCCCTGGTGCCGGGGAGGGACCGGGCTGCTGAGCCCCTCTCCTCAGCTGCTCATTAGAGGAAATAAACTCCAGTGCCAGAGAAGAACAGAGGCTATATTTCCAGGAGTTGGGTGGGGGCGGGGCCTTCTTTGGCCCCTTTTGCCCCTTTTCCGGCTCCATAGGCCCAGCACACACCCAGCCCACCCAGCAGAAGACCCTCCTGTCTGCAGAGGGAAAGGGCGAGGGAGAGACAGCTCAGCCCTGGCACCTCATGGCGCCAGGCAAGCAGGCAGGCCAGGAGGGCTTCCTGGAGGAGGGGCCTGTCCACCAAAAAGCTCCAGGAGCCCCCTGGAGGGCAGCCCAGCCCAGCCCACCCACGCACTGCACCAGCTGGGCCGGGCGTTTGGCAGGACTTCTGCAGACTCTGTGACAGGGCACAGGGGAGGACGGAGCGGGGGGGATGGGGAGGCAGGGAGGATGATGGGGGATGGGGGGGACAGGGAGGCTGGTGGGGGGCGGGGAGGCCGACTGGGGGGGCGCTGGGAAGGCCAGCAGGGCGGGGCGCGGGGGGCACTGGGCGAGCCTGCGGGCTCAGCGGCGCTGCTGGTTACCACCGCGGTAGGACATGTCCTCGTACACCATGCTCGGGGAGCTCTGATCCCCGGAGAGACTCTTGACCTACAAAAGCCCCGTGTCATCCGAGCCGCGGCCCTGCGGCCCGCCAGAGCACCCCCTTTCTTCAACACACGCACACACACGCATGGACACGTGTGTGCATGTGCACACACCATGCACACATGTACACCTGTGCCTGCACGCCCTGTGCACGCGCATGCACACACCCGTGTTCCCTTGGTGTGTGCAGGGCCGTCCCGGCTGCCCGCACCCTCCCCCAC